AAATAAAACAAAATAGTCAATCAAAACAAAACAATGAACATGGTACATGACTTCAAAACAAGATAAAAAGAAATCAATAATGGCTACCATAATGCCTCTTGTTATCTTCAAAATAACTCCCCATACTAGAAACGCCATAAAATAGCACAGAATAAAACCAATAAAAACAAAACAAGGAAAGCAATACAGGACTTCAAAAAGATAATAGTAAAACAGCAGTGGCTACCAAAACACCTCTTGTTATCTTCAAAGTAGATACCTATACCATCAGACATAATACAATTCAACAAAACAAAATAGAATAAAATCAATTAAGACAAAACAATGAAAGCAGTACAGGGTTTCAAAACAAGATAATAAGAAATCAATAATGGCTACCATAATATATTTTGTTGTATTTGAAATAGCTGTCCATGCCGTCAGATATAATAAAATTAGACAAATCAAAACAGAATCAAACCAGACAGAACAATGAAAACAATACAGGTTTATGGCCACTGCCTTCCCTTTTTAAACACTTCTTCCCTTTCACTTTCACAAGAGGTAGTGTGCATTTTAAAAATTTTTTTTAAAGAGGATAAAACAGAATAAGACAAATCGAAACAAACCAGTGTAAAACATATAGGACTTCAAAATATTACAAAATCAACAATAGAAAAAAAAAACAATAGTTACCACAATGCCTTTTGATGTCTTCAAAATAGCTGCAGATAACTTTGGACACAGTAAAAACCAAACAGAACAGAATGGAATAGAAACAATAAAAACAAAACAATGAATGCAATACAGGACTTCAAAACAAGCCAGTAGTAAATCCAAAATGGCTGCCATAATATGTCTTGCTATCTTTGAAACTGCTTTTCCTGCCATTGGATTTGACAAAATCAAACAAAACAGAAGAGAATAAAACCCAACCCAACAAAACGCTGGAAATGATACAGGACTTTCAAAACAAGGCATAGGGAATCAACAAAGGCTGCAACCCTCAGAAGGAGCTCCCCCCTAGATGTCACACTACATAGACCTGAAATGTTAGTGAAACACCAAAGCACAACAGGTATCCAATTGCATTTCACCTCCAAAGCCATCATCATAGTCTGTTTCTCTGGATAAGCCTGTCACTTACAGCAGGGGAGGGAGGAGGTTGGTACTTCTTGTTTGCCAGCTGCGCTCTGGAAGGGGCTGGGGTCTGGCTGTTCCAGTCTGGCAGTGGCTTGACCATGGTGCTGGTTTACAGACTGGGTTGCTTGCTGGTGTGGCTTTGTTCTTTCCACCCCTGGTCTGTAAATGGCACTGCCTCACGGGAGGAGGCTGGGGTCTGTCTGTTCCAATCTGGAGGCAGCCTGTGCAAGCCACTGGTTCCCAGTCTGGGTTTGCTTGCCAGTATGGCTTTGTTCTCTCTACCCCCAGCATACAAATGGCCTAAATTCCTATTTTTCAGGCCAGGAATATAGCCCAGTGGCACAGCACCTGCCTGGCAAGCAGAGTCTTAAGTTCAATTTCCACTACCAAAAAAAAATTTTAAAAAATACTATTTTTCATGCTTTTTATGCTACTACTTCCTTTTGTAAAAACTTGCTTCTTCAAATTCTTTTAGCTAACTCAAAATCTGACTAAATATTAGGAACATGGGGATATAATACAATTGAAAGATACATTTGTTCATTTATCAAGTAGTATATACTTGGGGCTGGGGATTTAGCTCAGTGGCATAAGCACTTGCCTTGCAAGCGGGCGGTCGTGAGTTCGATCCCCGGTACCGATAAAAAAAAAAAAAGTACATACTTGTAGAAACTTAACCTCTGGGATTTTCTGGGGTTTTGTTTGTTTGTTTAAAATATTAAATCAAAGCATTGATTTGTTTCAATCATGGGTTAGGCAAAGATGTGTTGGGTTATTTAATTTTCCAAATTAACTAACTAGATTAACTTTCACACATTTAGGGCACTGTAGAGGATGATCCAATTTACATAATGTGCTGTTTGCAATTTTATTACATTGTTTTTACTTTTTGTTTAAAGACCAGTCTCTGAATTGATATGTCCACTCAAGGGATATAAGATGTTTATGTAATTATATGACTGAACTATTTCAAAATTAGACAAATTTACTGTAATATGGGATTTATTGGTGGATAGAAAATAAAGTGACCTATTACTCATTAAATACAGTTGATATATTGTGTCATTTGTTATTCTTAGGTGTTCTAGACTTTTTCTTGTTACTTCCTATTTTCTGCAAATTGAGGTAAGAAAAGGTTTATTATAATCGGTCTCAGGAACTTATTTTCATATTATATTTTAAAATATATATATATATGTATATATATGTATATATATATATATATATATATATATATTTTTTTTTTTACATTTCAAAGGCTGATACAAGAGTTTGAGGCCATGAGTTTGAGGCCAACCTGGGTTACCCAGTGAGTACACAGTGAGTTCAAGACCAATGAGTAAATCATGTTCAAGACCCTGTCTCAAAAAAAAAAAAAGATCTTGTCTCAAAAAAACCCAAAATATAAAAAATTATTTGTTCTCATATATTAATTCTGATTATATTAATGCTGATAGATCTTTCTTTTTTAATAGTGTAAGTAAAAATAATCTAATATTTTAAAACGGAAAACCAAGATTTAAGTATAAAATAGAAATACATTTTTAAGCACTGGCTTATTGATTGATTTAAAAGTTATCTTTTGACTTCATCCAGTACACCTTTGTTTAGCTTCAACCCAATCAATTATCTTGAATTTTAATTTACTTATCAGATGGGTTATAATAAATCTTACGTGATTAATTTTTATGTAGCATTTCTTGAATATCATTTAAATCATATCAGTTCTTTAATTTATTGGATCTCAACAGTATGGTGCACTGAGGACAGAAAAAGGATATAATGATGTTTTACTCTTTTAGGTGATAAAATAATTAACATATAGCTAAGAATATTATCTTTGTTTCCTGAACAACAAGAATTAGTAGAGGATGTCAGCTTGAAATTTTTCATGGCACAAATTTATACTGGTTCTGTCACTCAGGCTTAAGGGTCACAGATATTCTGGGCTTTTAAAGATTTGTTAATACAGGGTGTTGGTTGGATATTGATATACCACTCATATATCACACAAATGGGGATTTTTAGTCAAGCAGAAAATAATAATTAATGCTGATTTAAAGTTTCTGTGTCCTGTATCATATGGTAGGCATTTCATATGTACCAAATATATATGTGTATGACACATATCTATCTATGTATCATAAAAGTAACACTACAGAGTCCATACACTTATTTTCTAGCAATACTAAATTTGCTCTCGCAATACTGCACTTTGGACATCAACAATCTACGTGCTAGCTTTGCAAGCTAGTTATTTACTCAAGAAGGAAGTTATTCTTGGTCATTGGGAATAAAGCTTTCACTGTTTGAATTCAGCTCACATGTGGCTGTGGGCCTGCAGGGCATGTGTGCAACATAGAGTCCTGAGCTGTATTGAAACTAGGATGCTCACCACAACGAAAACTAGCGTTTATAATGAAGCACAGGACCTTAATGACATAAAAGAACAGGGTGCTAAAACATGAAGATACCATTTATACACAGATGCTTTTCTGCAAGTCACCACACTTTGATTTTGAAAAAAAAGACTAGAGATCTATTGAAGAATTCATTCCTCATGGCACTGGTTCAACACCTCTGGCTCCTCTGCTGAAAAGCACCCTTATGTAGCGGTACTGTCCTACTAGAGCAGAAAGGAAAGCTGAAGACAAACCCCAGTCCCATAATAGAACTCTCTCCTTTCCAACAGAATAAATCCAATTGGTGGAGAGGAGAATTATCTCCATAGTAGGAAAAAAAAAATTACGCCACAAATATACAGGCTGTGTCAAATACATCTCAGTATTTGCATTACTTAGCTTTAGTATTTCAAAGATCGATGCTTTTTGTTATATCACAGAAGCCAACTCTGCATGAATGAATGAAGGGAATAATCTACTGGGATGTGCTCTTCAGCCAAAATACTCTTGGCAGAAGGGGGAAATTAAAGAGGAAGACACTTAATAGAACAAATATCCTTAAAATTTATAAAATTAATTTTAGGTTTCTAGGTTCACTAGGACTTTCAGAATTAAAAACTACACTAATGTGACATTTCCAAGTCCTTAAAAGAGGCACCTCAAATCCCTCTCCTCTGGCACCCCATTTTTATTATTTTAACTTTGTGGTGCAGTGTTTATGCCCGTGGAACATGTGCTACACTAGAGAAGGAATTGTTTTGTAAGTACACAGATGGACCTTGGCACTCCAGCCTCACAGTGAAACGTGGGACAACAGGGCAGGGATTCAAATAACACTAGGCAGCAGGCAACAGGGTTGTCTCTGAAAACAAGGGGGGGGGGTCCTTTAAAAATATTATCACTGGCACACACACAAAAAATAATGATTTGTCTTACTCTTAAAGCAGCTTGAGAAGGTTCGCTTGATTTGACCCTAGCGTAAAGAGAGTCCATTGGGAAGGGACGCTGAGATACCCAGGGTCTCCACTGGCTGGTGCTGCCTATGGCAGTGAGCGTAGTGGACTCTGGCCCTCACCTGTTCAGTCTGAACAACCCACACCCTCTCATCAGAACATGGGGCCGCCTTCGGAACCCAGTGTCTGTCCGGGTTCAGGACTGCAGGTCAAGACCTAGAGCCCCTCGGAACCCAGCGTTGCCCGTCAGAACCCGACTGGATCCCAGACGGCCCATCAGGACCTGCCAGGACCTGGGGTGGCCGGTCAAGACCCGGCAGAACGCCGGGCGGCCAGTCAGGACCCGTCAGGACTCGCCCGCCCCGCGCGGCAGCAGCACCTAGCGGAGCGGCGCGGAGGTGCGGCGGCGCGCAAGGCGGAGGTGCGGATGAGGCGGCCGCGCGCACGGCGGAGGTGCGGTGGTGGCGGGGGCGCGCACGGTGGGGCGCGCGGCGGCGGTGACGCGCACGGCGGCGGGCGGGGCGGCGGCGCTCCTCGGCGCACCGGCCGTGGCGGAGGCGCGGGCAGAGTGGCGCGGGCCGAGCCCGGGCGGAGGACGCGCGGCGGTGGCGGCGAGGCGGCCTGAGGGCTCCAGCCGGCCGCTGGAGAGCTCGGCTGCGACCATGTCGGCGGGCAGCCGCGACGAGGAGCGGCGGAAGCTGGCCGACATCATCCACCACTGGAACGCCAACCGGCTGGACCTGTTCGAGATCAGCCAGCCGACCGAGGTGAGCGCCGCCGCCGCTGCCGAGTGGTGGAGGAGGGAAGGGGGCGAAGCAAGGGGGAGGGGAACGGATCGGGAAGGGGAGGGGCGCGAGGGGTGTGGGGTGGACCCGCGCCGCAGCTCCCGGAACCCCAGGCCTCCCTTCGGGGCCGCGCTCGCCTGCTTCGCGGGCTCGGGTCCTTCCCCGCCCCCGGCCACCGTGCCCATCGCGGGCCTGGCCGCAGAGCACGCCCCGCCCTTGTCTCTGGCGTCCCGCGCCCCCTGTCTCCGCGCGCCACCTCCAGGTCCCATGCCCCCCACGATGACTGCGCCCCGCCTCCTGCAGACCCGCCGGTTGGGGTGGAGTCCCGGGGGACATCAGGCTGCCCGGGGGCCTGCGTCACCTGTGTCTCCGGCCACCTCTCTGTGTCGCCAGGACTGCATCTGGCTGCCCCTTTTTCCTCTGGGACACCATCTAGTTGCTCGCCTGTGCCTTAGGCATCCCAAATGGCCACCCACCTGTGCTCCTGGGACCCCACCAGCCCGCCCACTTGTGCCACCGGAACCCTGTCTGTCCACCTATGTCGCCAGGACCCCACCTGACTGCCCAGTTGGGGACTTGCCTTCTAGGACCCGACCTGTCCCCCGGGTCCCCACGTGGCCGCCCACCCCAGGGTTTCTGCCACCCCACCTGTGCCCCCGTGTCTTCCTTTCGCCTTCCCGCCGCCGAGCAAGGTCCATGAGCAGGAAGGCGGCAGCGGGCCGTTCGCCGCGGTGTCCTAAGGGCCCGGCGGGTGGCGCGTTTAGTCCCGACCATAGCCTGTCTCTCTCATGGCGTCTCGGAGGGTCGGAACGTGGTGGCGGTCACTTGCCCGCCTCAGTGGACGGTGCGCGAGGTTGCCCACGCTCCGCGCCCGGCTCCGCATGCGCCGCCTGCTTGGAAAGTTGTCCCGACTCCGCTGGCCGGCTTGGGCCTGGGCCAGTGCGGCTGGGCAGGGCACCGTGGCCAGCAGGCAGGGCCGCGGAGACAGGAGAGATTGTAACAAAGCGGTTGAAAGACTTCTGCAGGGCTTTGCCAAACGGCGCTGAGCCCAGCCCTCTGGATGGCGGAGAGGGTGGGGACGCAGGAGGGCCCCATGGGGAGACCTTCCTGACCTAACACTGGACCCAGGATTTGTGCTTGTTTAGATTATTTCAGTAGCATTTGTTTTTGATTTGTTGTAATAGGCAATTCAAAGTTAACAATCTTTGCTGGACTACTAGCTTTTAAGCAACGAAACATATTTGACAGATTACAGCATTCTTAAGAAATTTAAATCCTTTCCTTATCATTAAATTGCATTTTATATTGTTGAATAAATTCAACTTTTACCTTCTTGAGATTGATTTTGCCTTGTATAGGAAAGCTTGCATTTCTTCTGCCTTGATCTTTTCTTTGACCACATTTTACTGGTAAGAGCCCTGGTGTGATCTTTAGTTGAATGCTAATATAAATTAAGTTCATGTTGCTAATTTAAGCACTGATGTTTACTCCTGATTCACCTCTCAGGTTCTGTAATGATTTTATGAGTTTGGTTCTAGTAAGCAAATTACTGTGTAATAAGCGTTCATGACTTACTGGCACATCTTTTTGAGGACATGCAATAATTTAGTTTCAAGATTATGTTGTCATTTACAATAGTCTGTTTTTCATTTCATTGAAATGTAATAAAATTTGGATGTAAAATATCTTGAAACATGGTCATTTTGAGTTTTTATTCTGTTTTTCAAAAAATTTTGAGATATTTCTCAGATCTGGTTAAGAAAACCAGTCTTTCAGTTTAGTTATAGAGAGTTCACCTTGTTCTTTGGTATTTTAAATTGGGTTGCTGTTTTTAAAAATTTCAAATCAGGAACATCATTAATTGTTTAAATTGTTTTAAACATTAAGCTGAAATGTGTTCTTTATTTTCTTAGAGCTCTGAGTAGTCAGGTAAAATTGGACTGTTAATAGAAAGCTGCTTTTTTAGTTACTTGGTAGGTGAAAATTTGCCGTATATACAAAGCAAAAATTGAAATGACTATATTTAAAATGACTATATTTCATATTAGGTTTTCCTCTTCATTTATATTTGAATATTTCCGTTTTGAGGAAGGATTCTTCGGAATTGTATTTGGAACCCTTTCATAATTTTTAAAAAAATGTTTATTTTTTTTCTTAGCTTTATCATTGTGTAGTGGCTAACTCACACTTTGTATTTTTGTTTTTCTAGAGAAGCTTTGTATACTATTAATAAATTTATTCTAGCCTTAGAAATTAAGCTTTACATGTAACACATTCTGTCTTTTATTAAGGTGTAGGTAAATTTAGTAATTCTCTAAACCAGTATTTCAAGGTTAGTGAATTCAATCTGCTTTGTCTAAACTTGTGTGTGAAAAATTTTTACTAGTGATTTTTATTCCACTTGGCCTTTATAGTTTTCAGTAAAAACATAAACAATGTATTATTCTTTATTAGATGCACAGTAAGTGTTGAAAAGATTCGCTGAAGAAGTTGTAGAAATCAGATTTAAGCCTTATTTGATTTACTTGGGAATCTTTTCATGTGTGTGTAGTGAACTTTTCTTTCTTGTATTTTCTGTCAGTATCTTTTACCGGACTTGATCACTAATCATCAGTGATTGCTGGTTTCAGGCAGCTTTGATAATCATTGATAATTCTGTGGTTCCTATGTTTGGGAAGATGATAAACTTGGTTCTTTAGATATGATTTACTTTTTAAGAAAATTAGAGTGTGGTTTAAAGTCATCCTGGTTAAGTTTGCCTATTTGACTGCATTCACATATTTTGGTTTTTTGCCTTTGTGCTTTTTGAGACAGGAACTTATTAAATAGTTAAGGCTTGAACTCACTATGTAGCCCAGGCTGACCTTGAATTTATGGCTGTCCTACGTCAGCCTCCCAAGTGCTGGGATTACAGGCACACTCCACTTTTCAAGCTTTCGTATTCACATTTGTGTGCAAAAGGAGGACTTCCAAAGAAGGAACAGGTTGTCATTTTCCAGTCTCTTTCTCTTTGGGCCCTAGATTCTTTTGGGATTTGTGAAGTAAGAATTGATTATCTGAATTTAATATTGAAATTTATCACCAGGAGACTGATGTTAAGCTGAATAAGTATCTTTATTAATATGGAAACCTATAGTCTTAAAAAAGTGCCTTAGCTTTTAAGCTTTAGGCCTCTCCTTTTCTTATGTTTAATTTGAAGGCTTTATTTCTTCAGGGATTCCTAATTGCTTATGGTGGAATACATTCTGGTAATCTTTCCTATCTAGAACCACCATAGGAGAGCACTTCGTGGTCACCCACAGGTCTCCCAATTGGCTTTTAACTCACCACTACTTGTCAAGATAGTCATTGGTTATTACTCAAAGGCAAGAATTTAGTTTTGTTCTTGAAAAATTGTTGTCACAACAAACATTTTGTGGAAAGAATATTACATATGAATTTCTTAGTGTATATCTGTATTTTGACAGAAGATACATGCCTTTTAAAACTTTGGTGAATATTATTAGGCTAATAAAAATTTATGTTTTCATGTCTTACTCTTCATTTGAGTAAAGGTTATATCTATATCCAAAACCATACTAGGTATTAGTATTTGGTTTCAGAAGATTTTTTTAAAAAGTCATTGCTTATTATATACAGTATTAATTGCCTTTTGCCCTGTTACAAAAAAGACAGTTGTGTAGATACTCGCATTTGCTTTATAAGAGATGAATGTTTCAGGGGCTGGGGATTTAGCTCAGCAACATAAGCAACTGCCTTGCAAGCAGGCATTCGTGAGTTCGATCCCTGGTACTGATAAAAAAAAAAAAAGAGAGAGAGAGATGAATGTTTCATTTAAATATATCCATTAATCTTGATATATTACCCAGAGATGTATATAAACAGTGACTTCTGATTGTGATTGGTTAGCAGAGGTGAGTAGGAAGTGTTCAAAGAAAGAGGCAATGTTTGCCTAATTTATTATAGCTAAACCTATGTTGCAGACTTCTGTTGTTGTTTGAGACAAGGTCTCATATTTTGATTCAGGCTGACCATAAACTTCCTATGTAAGTTCAGGTTGGCCTGGCAGCAGTTAAAAGACTGCACCACCATACCTAGCCAGAAAGGTTGTAATGCTGCTGTGTCATGTAACTTACCATTACTTGATGAGACTGTTTTGAAAACAATTGTATTTTTAGATAACTGTACTGCTGAGAAGCTCTCTTTCTGGGTACTAACGCATGGTCCACAGTTGCCACTGAGGTGTTTTTAGCATTCATAACCATCCTCTCCTTGACTGGGTGAGCTTTAGTAGTGGTTATAACTTTTTACAAACTTGTTTTTCTAATATGTAGGTCTTAAATTTAGATGCCTTAAGTTGAGATTGTACCTGGACCAGTTTCACTTCACTGTTTTTCTGCCAATAAAAAATGATTGTGTAATTTGTTGACCTAATGGAATGTAAATATTGCAACTGTATGGACATTCATAGAATTTTGTGTTTATATTTTGATGGGGTTTAATTAAGTCATAATATCAGTAAATATTGTCCTTGATATTGAAAAGATGAAATCTGAACAAATTGTTAAGGAAGCTTTAAAAAAGTTTATGTTGTGTCATTAAGGATTAACTGATCAATTTTAGTAAAGCACTGTTAATAGTCACTGGTTATTATTCTTGTGGTGTGAGTTAATTTGTAAAGAAGCAATTTTGTCAGAGTTGAACTGTGTTATAATGTTGAAAAATACTAGAAAATAGCATTTATTTGATATAAACCTGTTTTTATTATAACTAAGGTAAGTATGCAAGTAGTCTTTAAAAATACATTGATTTATAAAATTAAAGTGTTTCATTAGTTGGAAGTTATTTCTGTTGGGCATGGTGACACACACCTGTAGTCCTAGGACTTGGGAAGCTGACATAGGAGGATTACTTTAAGTTCGGGATCAACCTGGGCCACTTAGTGAGTTCAAGGCCAGCCTGAACTACATAGCAAGACCCTGTCTCAAAAAAAAAAAAAAAAAAAAAAAAGGAAAGAGAAAACAAAATTATTTCCACATTAGGTAGAGTCTTGAATTTTTTTGTTCATACATTTACTATTTGTTAGTTGCCTGGCTGTTCATATACAGGTTATACTTATTCAACTTGAAATTTTTAAAATGGTATCTCCCCCTTGTTTAACCTGCATTTACACTTGTAAGTTAGAGTCTGAGCATTGTACTACGTCCCACAGATCGTTGCATCAGTTGTGGACCAATCAGTGTTAGCTGGGCCTGAGAAACCATGGATGAGCTTCTAGCCAGTGTCTTCACCTATATTATTTGATAGTAGATTTGTAGTTTTCATGTGCAGAAGATTTTTCTTAATATTTCATGGTGTAGATTGAGCACCTTGATCTGAAAATGAAGTCCAAAATCTAAAACATTTTAAGTGCCAGCATTTCACAAGTAGAAAATTCTACATTTGATTTTCAGATTGCAGTCAAAACATAGGCACAATAAAAATATTGTATAAAACTACCTGCAGACTATATGAATGAGGCTTATAGGAAACAAATATAATTTCATGTGTAGGCTTTGATCTTTTCCCCAAGCTCTCTCATTATCTATACGTAGAGGTTACAAAACTTGAAAAAGTGTGAAATCTAAAGTAAGCATTTTGGTTATAAAACTGGTTAAAAATAGGTTGAGTGGTGCTAAAGAGGGTGGGTGTGTGTTTACCTATCAAGTTGTCTGGTTTAGGTTTTAGTTAGCAATAACATAAACATAAAAATTATTGTGGCATACACGATTGATTAAAACTACATTATAATTTAACTTAGACATGAATATACTTTTCAAGTATATTCTATACAAATAAGTACAGAAAGTTGGTTTGTATATATAAAGCAGGAGAGCATTCTCCCAACATAAGATGATTCCAAAATGAAGTTGTGAACATGCAGGTTTTTTGTTTTTGTTTTTGTTTTTCTGGGTTTCACTATACAGTTTAGGCTGGCTTTGAACTCACTTTGTAGCGCAGACTGGCCTCAAACTCCTAATGATCCCCCTACCTCAGCATCCCAAGTGCTGGAATTACAGGTGTGTGCTATCACGCCTGGCCAACAAGCAGGTTTACAAGTATGTGTCAGAAGTAAAATTATTTAGAAGAATTCAAGTTGAATTTACAATGGCTGGAAAACAGCCAAAATTTCTATTCTATTGTTTGCAAAACAGCTAATAATAGAGAAAATTGTGTGGTTTCCAGAAAATAAGTGAGAATTTTTGTTGCACTTGATAACATTGCTGTATTTTTAGTTTGAAAACACTCAACATGTTTACACTTGTAAATGTTAACTGCATTATAGTGTGAGATCACTAGTACGCTGTGACTGAAAGTAGGTGCTATTAATTATTATACCAGGACAACAGGCATAAGCTAGG